CCCTGCGGAAGAAGCACGCGGACAGCGCAGCCGAGCTGGCGGAACAGATCGACAATCTGCAGCGCGTCAAGCAGAAGCTGGAGAAGGAGAAGAGTGAGTTCAAGCTGGAGATCAGCGACCTCTCCAGTAGCATGGAGAGCGTGTCCAAATCTAAGGTGAGGGGCCGGGTCCTAAGGTGAGAGGACACCTGCAGTGGGTCAACCTAAGGCCACCTGCAGACCTCCCTCCCCTTCCAATCCTCAGGCCAATCTGGAGAAGATATGCCGAACTCTGGAGGACCAGTTAAGTGAGGCGAGGGGCAAGAATGAGGAGACCCAGAGGAGCCTGAGCGAGCTGACAACACAGAAGTCCCGGCTGCAGACGGAGGCCGGTGAGCCATGAGCAGGGATGCTGTGCCGTGGAGTAGAAGGCTCTCCTAGCAGGGGCAGCACCTTTGCGGGAGAGAATGTTTTCTTTTGTTTTTGCTTTGCTTTGTTTTCTTTTGTTTTGTTTTAAAGACAGTGTCCTACTCTGTAACCTTGACTAGCCTGGAAAGTCCTATGTAGACCAGGTTGGTCTGGAACTTACAGAGATCTGCCTGCCTGTGCCTCCCTGGTCCTGGTGTTAACGGCCTGTGCTAGCACACCTGGTGAGGGAGGATTTCTAAAAACACATTTTAGAAGAAAGGTAATGGAAGCAACCCACAAAATAGGCTGTTCCAAACATCCAGGAGGAGAGCACGGGGTCTAGTGAAAATAAAAAAGGAAGCAGATGGGCCAAACTTCCATGAGTAATATAAACGTGCATCTGACAAAACCTGGATAGGAACAGGAGGAGGAGCAGCGGCCTTTCTACTTCCTGCTCACTGACTGGATTCAGGAATTGCAGAGAATAAAGACAGAAGTGGGCTTGAACAGTGCTGGCTCACAGTGTAGTAACAAAGGCGACAATTTGGGCATTCACCCAGGAAATACAGCTCCAGCCAGGACTGAGACCTCATCACAGGTCAATTGCTTCTTTGCTGTAACCAAAGGCCAGCACAGGGAGAAAAGATGCCTTGGAACTGCCTTCTCAGGTCATCAGCACCCCACTTCCCTTCTGACTTCTGTTAACACCCCAGATGATCGTATTCACCCAAGAGCCTAACTTCGAATTTCTAGAGCTGAAGCCCTGTTTTTGTTAATGACTCAACTGGAATCATCAGCCGCTGGGGAGGTGGAGAGGCGCCCCTGGCGATGTTCTAATCCATAAAAGTTCTCTTAGCTTTCACTGGCAGGGGTCACTCCTGGCTTGCTGTAGTTCATGACATTATTTTATTAGGGTGCTATTTCCTTTTCATGGACACATCCATACGCTCTCAAGAGGAGGTCTCACCTCCTTACTTGTCCCCTACCCCAATTAGCACAATGTCTTACACTTGGTGAGTGAATGAATGAACTGTTTCCTCCCGACACAGGTGAGCTGAGTCGTCAACTGGAAGAAAAGGAGAGCATAGTATCTCAACTTTCCAGGAGCAAGCAAGCCTTTACTCAACAGATAGAGGAGCTCAAGAGGCAGTTGGAGGAAGAGAGCAAGGTACCTGCTGCAAACTAAAAGCAATATTGGAAAAAAAAAAGTGACTTTATTCAGCTGGTAGTGATAGCAGGACATACCTGGTTTGTGTAGCACACACAGTCCCAATTGGGGTGTCCTTTGATTTTTTTCCAGGCCAAGAATGCTCTGGCCCATGCCCTGCAGTCCTCCCGTCATGACTGTGACCTGCTGCGTGAACAGTATGAGGAGGAGCAAGGGCCATGTCCAAGGCTAACAGTGAGGTGGCCCAGTGGAGGACAAAATATGAGACAGATGCCATCCAGCGCACGGAGGAGCTGGAGGAAGCCAAGTAGGCGACTCTAACTAGAACCCTTAAGTGATCTCATGGCTCAGCACATTGGTTTTAGAGTGATGTGGGATGAACTTAATGAACTTGTTTTGTTACTAGACATTTCCCCATCACGTGTGCATTGGCATAGTTCATTAAGACATCAACTCTGATCCTGGTTAGACCTGAGATGGGCCATTGATCACAGACTTTGAGCAGATGGGGGAGTCTCTTGGGGCTTATGCACAGAGGCACATGAGCCACGCGGATTAATGACTCCAGCTTGATGAGCAGTGATGCTCAAGAAAATGGAACCTTAACAGTGTCTGTCTGCTTCCTTCTCATTTTCTTGAAGAAAAAAACTGGCTCAGCGCCTTCAGGATTCAGAGGAGCAGGTTGAGGCTGTAAATGCAAAGTGTGCTTCCTTGGAAAAGACCAAGCAGAGGCTCCAAGGGGAGGTAGAGGATCTGATGGTGGACGTAGAAAGAGCCAACTCCCTGGCTGCTGCTCTGGACAAGAAGCAGAGGAACTTTGACAAGGTGTGGGCCAGCTCCATGTTGGCTGAACTCCATGGTGTGGGGGTGCTGGGGGCTGTGGGAGGAAGAGATCGACTCCCTCCTCAGCCCTACTTTAGCACTGTGGTCTTAGAGAGATCCTTCCCTGTGTCAGACAAGTGTGATTTGAACCAACATTTTAATGAAATACTTCTAGAAGTTCGGGGCTATTATTATTATTATTATTATTTGGTATTAGGGGAAAAACAATTATGTCTAGCTAATTTCTTCTCTAAGAATTCATTTCTTTTTGGATATGGCAATAATTACTGATTGATTATCCCAAGTAAGTTAATAGAATGAAACCTTTGCTCACTCAATAATCTAGACCAGACAGACACTTGAGAGCCCTAACTCTGAAAGCAGTCACCTCAGTGATGACATTCTGTTAGAAGCATGGCAGAGAGCTCACTAACAGCCTTCCATGATGATGTTGCAGGTGCTAGCTGAGTGGAAGACAAAATGTGAGGAGAGCCAAGCAGAGCTGGAGGCAGCTCTCAAGGAGTCCCGATCCTTGAGCACTGAGCTCTTCAAACTGAAAAATGCCTATGAGGAAGCCTTGGATCAACTTGAAACCGTGAAACGGGAGAATAAGAACTTAGAACGTAAGCGTTGCAAATAGTCTGAGATTGTGGGAAACCCTTCCTCTCATCCATCATGACCAGAGCGTATGGGGATGGGTGAGACTCCATCCATCACTCAGATGTCCGCACGGGTCCACTGCTAGACCTGTTGTTTCGAGTTTCTCTATCCAGTGTCTTATGTCTGGGAAGCAGAGGTCTCTAGAGTTACAAAAAACTAGCAAAAGGCATTGAGTGCATGCTTTGCATTCCTGGGAACCTGTGCAGAGGTGTCCAGATGCAATGGGAACTTATTTTATTGCAGAAGAGATAGCGGATCTCACTGAGCAAATTGCCGAGAATGGGAAAAGCATCCACGAGCTAGAGAAATCCAGAAAGCAGATGGAGCTGGAAAAGGCTGATATCCAGATGGCCCTGGAGGAAGCAGAGGTGAGCATGAGTGGGGAGGCAAAAACCAGAACAGAGGCAATGATGTGGGTCTGGGGGAAGAGATGGTCATATTTGGCCTTTGGGGAATCATGGTCCTCTTTCCCCATGATGGTGAGGCCGAGTGAGATAATGCTTTGGAGTTAGCTTAAGTTTGTCGGAGAAAATCATTACATTAAAATAGGTCTGTCTCTGAAATCTGACAAACCCTTAGCTGAAGTTAAAATAGCTGCTAAAGAGCTTCCTGTTCCTAATAAATAGGAGAGTGTAAACACTTTATGTATGAGTGTATAATCATAAATGAATACAATGAAATGTCTTACTTGCACTGAAGGTAAGTTAGAGATTCTATTTAAAGGTAGCTTTGATTATTATTGAACTTCGATTTAGGAGGATCTCATTGGAGCCTTGCTGACCGAAGGTTGTGTGGTCAGCTCTATAAGCAGTGCAGAAACTGTTCCTTTTGGTTTTGTCCTTTACAGGCAGCTCTTGAGCACGAAGAAGCCAAGATCCTCCGAATTCAGCTGGAACTGACCCAGGTGAAGTCAGAGATTGACAGGAAGATTGCAGAGAAGGATGAAGAGATTGAGCAACTGAAGAGGAACTACCAGAGGACAGTGGAGACCATGCAAGGGGCCCTGGACGCTGAGGTGCGCAGCAGGAATGAGGCCATCCGGCTCAAGAAGAAGATGGAGGGTGACCTCAATGAGATTGAGATCCAGCTGAGCCATGCCAACCGCCAGGCTGCAGAGAACCTCAAGCACCTCCGGAGTGTCCAGGGACAGCTGAAGGTAGAGGGAGCTCACGGGGTGGGGGTGGGGCTTCTCCACTGTCCAGATAATGCAAAGACTAGGTGAGGCTCGTGGTACTTGGCCCTTCACTTCACACTCTTTGTCTTCTGGCTAGGACACCCAGCTGCACCTGGATGATGCTCTCCGGGGCCAGGAGGACCTGAAGGAGCAACTGGCTATTGTGGAGCGCAGAGCCAACCTGCTGCAGGCAGAGGTGGAGGAGCTGCGGGCCACGCTGGAGCAGACAGAGAGGGCCCGGAAGCTGGCAGAGCAGGAGCTGCTGGATTCCAATGAGAGGGTGCAGTTGTTGCACACCCAGGTGAGGGCAGGAATACAGAGGCTGGGTACCAGGGTCCACCCCAGACACACTGTCTGACACTCCTTCCTCCTCCCCAGAACACCAGCCTCATCCACACCAAGAAGAAGTTGGAGACAGACCTCACACAGCTCCAGAGTGAGGTGGAGGATGCCAGCAGGGATGCAAGGAACGCAGAAGAGAAGGCCAAAAAGGCCATCACTGATGTGAGCTCCCCTCCCCCACCCATCGTGGCCACTGAGAGATTGGGCCTTATTAAAGCCCTTCTTCCCCTAAATCCTAGACATGCTCACTAGAAGTCTACCCTTGTAGGACACTCACGGTGTACATGCTGCCCCCAGAGCATTCTCATCTCCAGTCAAACTCACCTGTCCTCTCCTGTACTGTCAAAAGCTGGTAGAGAGGGAGGGGCAGCATACTGTTGTTCTGTCTCTAGAGAGTTGTGTTCTTTTATTTGGGGTCTGGAAATGAGACCTTCTGAGGGCACTATCACATCACATCTTCCAACCTTCCTGAGTCTTCAGGCTTTCTTTCTGGTTCCATAGCTCCAATGGTGCCACCTGCTGCCTTCTAAGGGAACACCACCTCAATGCTGTTTTACTTTCCCAGGAAAGCAAAAATACAGATTCCTTATGTCTTGAGTTCCCTCCTTCCCCGTGTGATTCTAGATAGCAAGTTAATCTCCTCCAAACCTCAGGATCCTTTGAAACTGTATGGCGATGATGATAAAATAAAGACTCCTTGGGGTTTGGACAGGTCCCAACGAAACCAGTTTCAGGACACTTTCTCACCTGGTCCTTGTAGAGTTTCTTTTTTGTTTGTTTTTTTCGAGACAGGGTTTCTCTGTGGCTTTGGAGGCTGTCCTGGAACTAGCTCTTGTAGACCAGGCTGGTCTCGAACTCACAGAGATCCGCCTGCCTCTGCCTCCCGAGTGCTAGGATTAAAGGCATGTGCCACAACTTCCTGGCTTCCTTGTAGAGTTTCTTATATCCCAGGTGTAGCTTTTGTCCTGTTCCAAGGTGGGAAGCGAGCTCATTCAGGGTCTTACCCTTTGTCCTTTCCACAAGCACGCTTTCTGGTCGGCCTAGAATGCCGATTTCCACAGCTGCAAGGCTTTTGAGCTTTCCCCGGCACACTTTGCTTTTCAGGCCGCCATGATGGCGGAGGAGCTGAAGAAGGAGCAGGACACCAGCGCCCACCTGGAGCGGATGAAGAAGAACCTGGAGCAGACGGTGAAGGACCTGCAGCACCGTCTAGATGAGGCTGAGCAGCTGGCACTGAAGGGCGGCAAGAAGCAGATCCAGAAACTGGACGGGTACTGGCAGGGGGAAGCCCAGCCAAGCCCGACTTCTTAGCCTATGCCACTCAAGAAACAGCTCTAGAATAATGTCCCAAACATCTCCCCAGATCAGAGAGCTGGAGTTTGAGCTGGAAGGGGAGCAGAAAAGGAACACAGAGTCTGTGAAGGGCCTGAGGAAGTATGAGCGTCGGGTCAAGGAGCTCACGTACCAGGTAAGTGGAAAGAACACCTACTGGGAGTTTTCTCTCCAAGTGCAATTGGCACTCCAAGTCTGGGATAGGATGGAACACTTGCTCCCCAACCGCAGACTGGCTAGGCCATGCTACAACACTGCCCTTCTCTAGTGACAACCCCACATTCTCGTTTGCAGAGCGAGGAGGACAGGAAGAATGTACTGAGATTGCAGGATCTGGTGGATAAACTTCAAGTGAAAGTCAAGTCCTACAAGAGGCAGGCTGAGGAGGCTGTAAGTCATTTGTTTGTGTGGCTCGCCCATTTCTCAGTGGCAGTCCTGAGCGAGGGACATGCCGATTTCACTCGCTGGTCTCTTTGCCTGTAGGATGAACAAGCCAATGTTCATCTCACCAAGTTCCGGAAAGCCCAGCATGAGCTGGAGGAGGCAGAGGAACGTGCTGATATTGCAGAATCGCAAGTCAATAAACTGCGGGCTAAGACCCGGGACTTCACTTCCAGCAGGGTAAGCTGACCTGGGAAGTGCTCAAGAGAAGCAGACTCCTCTGAGCTGGAAGTTGCTGTAGGGAATCCTCTACTCCCCAGATGGAGAATCTCAAGCTCAGAGGGAGAACTTTGTTTATAGTCACTAGCATGGGTGGAGCTCCACTAGAATCCCGGTCTGTAGCTAACAATAAAACACCTTCCAGAAAGCCGGTGAATCGTATAGTCCACTGAGCTGGTTTTCAGCGCCCTCTGCCGGTATGAGAGAGGCTCCTCAGGAGCACCCTCTAGAGGTGGCTGAAGGTGTCTGCTATTACTGTAACCACAGGCCCATTGTGGCTCCCAGAGCAGACTTGCTCTCTCTGCAAACAAGTTTCTCAGGCTATGGAGGGATCTCATGTGGGCTACCATACATCCTCCCAAGGACCCCCAAATTCCCTGCATTCCACTGAAATATACAAACAACTCCATCATGCTTGCGGGAAGAAGGGTTCAGGAAATGTCTCTGCTACTTGGCTTGACTGAGAGCATCCACATTCTCTCTAGATGGTGGTCCATGAAAGTGAGGAGTAAGCGAGCCTTCCTGATGCAGGGCGGAAGACATGCAGATGTGTATTTTCATGGCTCTTGGCAATCGTACTTAAGTTCCATGCGACTCTTTTCCACATGCAATAAAATTTGCCTTGTTTTCAAGTTGTTTCGTCTTGTGCATTTCTCTCTTCCCCACATGGAAATGATTCCACTTTTGATGATTTCTTTTCTGCTGAATACTGAAATATCAGTAAGCAGATGGCTAGGTAGATTAAATTGGTAAATTTGTGTGTATGTGTATCGGGGTTGGCTTTTGGTTTAAATTTGAGATTAAAAATTTAAAGTACTTCTAGGTTAAGCATTGCTTCAGTGGGGTAGAGAGAGAGAGAGAGAGAGAGAGAGAGAGAGAGAGAGAGAGCTTTAATTCATCCATTAATATCACATAAGAGAAACACAAAGCTTGAGTTCAGGAGCACCTTGTTTCAAATTGGGTAGGATTCCCCTCCTACACATTTTACTAGGGAAATACATCTTGAATTTGGTTAATAATGGTTGGGCTCTGTACATGCTATAGATTGTTTGCTTCTTTCAAGATCTCAAAGACCAGGGGTGTAGCTCAGTGGTGGAACACTTACCTCACATACTTGAGGCTCTGGGTTCAACCCCCAGCCACTGTAAAAAAAAAAAAGTCAGTCTATATCTCCCCTAAGTCCCGTTATCTTGGGTAAAATCTGCCTTATTTCAGAGTTGAATAAACAAACCGCTTGCACATCCCCAGATGAACCCGACTTTTACCCAAAGAAGACAAATGTTCGGAAAGTTAGGACATCCATGAAGCTGATCAGGCAGCAGAGCAGAATGCTCTAACCAGAGATTAACTCAACACATAGATCATCATGAACACCCTCATCAGAAAGGGTTGCCAAGTCCCTTTCCTTACTGAGGACTAGAAGGTTCCAGGATGTTCCAGTTTAACTCAGAAGGGAAGCCTTGGGGTTTTTGACAGTGCTCAGGACCAAGTCAGCACCTCAGGGTTTGTGTCTGGGGGTGGGGGGAGTGGGCAGGAGGCCACAATTCTGCTTGGGTTTGTCCTTTCAGTGACTCTGGACCGTTTTGTCTCTAAGAACATGTGACTTTCATTTGCCTTCAATACTTGATGGCGACACCATGGCTCAAAAGTCCCACACCTTCAGAGGCTGCTGTTACTAAGGAAATCACCGCACTGAGAAAAAGTCATTTCTACAGCCTGACCTGAGGTGGGGCCAGGAGAGCAATGGTCACTCCGATCCTCTCAGAAGTTAGGAAAGGTGCTGTACTCTGGACTCTGCCTTCCATGGGAGGCAGCAAGGGAGAAGGCAAAGGCAACCTTGTTCCTAGGTATTCTAGGTAGTGAGCGCAAAAGAAATGAGAGACCCAGGCTGTCCCAGTTTTCATACAAAGTGGGAGCCCTTAATGAATTGCTATCAGAGAAAGATAAGACATTCTCTGCCTCTCCACACGAGGGTATGCATGCTGTTGCTTGCAAAGATTCCCAATCAACAGTCTACAATGCATCTGATCAGGCTTCTAGATAGGATTACTACTAATTGGGGGAATTCAGGCATATAAGATATAACCAATAAATCCACAATAGGGGGAACTCACCTGAACAAGTAATAGGGTTTAAAAAATAAATACAGTGCATGTAAAAATACAGAAGAGTAAGTGAGATTTAGTAGGCCTATAAGCCAATTGCACTGTAAGGATTTAAAAATTTAACATTATGCTCTATTAAAAATATTGTATGTGTGCATGTGTGCATATGTGTATGTGCACATGTACACACACACACACACACACACACACACACACACACACACGTCTATATGTACCCAAAACATATGTGGAGGTTAGAAGACAGCTTGTGGGAGTTAGTTCTCTTCAACTATGTGAGCTTTGGGGATTGAACTCAGGTCATCAAGCTTGGTGAAAAGTGTCTTTACCTACTGAGCTACCTTGCTTGTCTAAGAAGTTGTTGTGACTAGATTTGTATGAAAGTGAGTTAAAGCAGAGAGACACACCCTTGAATGGTAACTATCCCGTTTCATCCTCAGGGGAGAGTTTGCTACTGTGATTCTGATTTGGAACCAACCAGTCCTTATTTCTTACAAGTCCATGCTACAACATTTTATAGGTGAGAAAGGCAGGGAAAGTGAGAAAGCTTTGCTTGATGTCAACATACTGACAGAACCTAAGGATTCACCAAATATGCTCAGATACATTGGATGCAGGATGGAGACACACACAGATACAGACACACACACAGACACAGACACACACACACACACACACACACACACACACAGAGACACAC